GTGTCATGATCAATTCTTTGTGACTATATATTTCAAGTTTGAAAAGACGTTTAGTTCCCACTTTAAGTGAACCTTAGTTCCCAGGTCATCTACAAGATCGATTAAAATGCTGATAAATTCAAGAAAAGATGAGACAAACACATGAAAGTATGATTGAAATGTAAAAAATAAAATAAAATAAAACGTGTTTATTCTGTGGCACCTAAAAAAAATAATTTGGCGCCTAAAAATTTTTCTTATAGGAGCCAATGGCTCCTTACTCGATTTTTTTTTTGTTTGGAGCCCTGATTATTTTCCACATACTGTACATTATTGTTTCTCCTCTATGCCCTGCCTTTCTGAAACACGTCGATTTTTACAAAGCTCATCGTTCTGAAAAGCGAGGTGGAAAAAAGCAGAAGGTAAAAATGCCCATAAGAGGTAAAAAATAAATTTAAACCTATTTGAAAAGATTAATTTCTATCACTGCTGTGAACTGACCACCACACAGAATATGAAGAATATCAGAAACTTCAGGAGTCAGCTGTCCACTGTAAAATATCAGCACAATAACAAAATATCGTCTAATTATCGTTATCGATAAAATTCCAGAAAATATTGAATATTAAAATATTTTTTTTTGTCAATATCGCACACCCCAGGGAAAGTGTATTTTATTGTTCGTGTATGGGTCAAAGCGTAGCTGAAGTGCTGTGTGTGCAGGCGTAAGCTCCAGGACTGGAGGGACTCGAGGGGGATCACTTATAAACGCCCCCCCATGCCTGTTCATCTGGTGAGGAGGAAGACTGTTTCTGCTCTTCCTCAGCCGTTCTGGACTTCTATAAATTCCAGAAAATATTGAATATTAAAATATATTTTTTTGTCAATATCGCACACCCCAGGGAAAGTGTATTTTATTGTTCGTGTATGGGTCAAAGCGTAGCTGAAGTGCTGTGTGTGCAGGCGTAAGCTCCAGGACTGGAGGGACTCGAGGGGGATCACTTATAAACGCCCCCCCATGCCTGTTCATCTGGTGAGGAGGAAGACTGTTTCTGCTCTTCCTCAGCCGTTCTGGACTTCTATGGAGAATGAAGATGAGGTTCATGATGTTGTCTTCGCTGTGGACCGATCGCTGGATGACTGCATTCAATTATTACAGCAGGTATCATTCATATTATTGTGTGAGGTGTTATTATTTTTTTTTAAATGCGTAATTAAATGAATGTGCGTAACCAGAGACAATGCAACAAAGCAGACTCTTCCATGTAAATATGAGTTTCTGTTTGAACCAGCTTCACACAGCTGCTAATAATCAAATATAATTTCCCTGGTCAAGACATTGTGCAAGTAAGTTAGTGAATAACTTGAGTTTTTTTTGTATTGTGTGTGTGGTCATAGGTGAATGTGCTTTGGATTTACAACTGAAGACAGATGTTGGTTAATATACTTGAAAAAACAAAAGGGCATAGAAAAGGCAATCAAAAGCAAATAAAGAACTTTGGTCAACGAAGAGCAATGATTAACACCAGCCTTCATAATGTAACCTATCTTTATGACTTTTGATATTAATTTTAAAACATGGTAATATACACATTAAAATATAAACTTTGGTTAAATGGTTTAATACAGTGTGTGTGTTTGTAAATAAATGCCATATTAGAGCATAAGTAGGCATTCATAAAACACATGCCCAAATGAAACGCAGTTGGTAAAAATGTTAAACTCCAGTAATAATCCTAATCTCACAATTTAACCCTACTGACTTTCCTAAAACCAATTTGTTCATACTTCATCGCTGGACCGATTAGAGCATTAGGAAATCATGACTGCAGAAGGTTGGAGTATGTTGACGTCTTTCCAATTTTATAGCCCTCTGAGTCAATAATCATTGTCTAGACTAGAAATTACTGGATTCTGAATTTCAGTTTCAATCACATATGTGATCTACTGTACCATGGGAAAAATCCCCTCTCAACTTTATTAGGCAAGGTGTAATTCTTTCAGATAAAGCGTTCTCAAACCAACATTCAACATTTGTCCGGATTGTTCCCTTATCCCTAATCGCAGTGTTTGCTTATCCAGGTTTTGTTGAGCCGATCTCCGGTGTTTGCCATTTTCTGGCATTAATCGACCATGATGTTTACAAGCCTTTTCCACCAGTCTGACTCTGACCACTCTGAGCTTATGATAGAATCTGGGTAACCAAATGGTGCATGGTCCCTACATAGTATGGAGAAAAAAAGTGGGGTCAGTGGGGACCAAAAACTGGTTTCCCGCATTCTTTAAAGGGGTCATATGATGCAATTTCATTTTTTTCTTTCTCTTTGGAGTGTTACAAGCTCTTGGTGCATAAAGAAGATCTGTAAAGTTGCAAAGACTAAAGTCTCAAATCCAAAGAGATATTCTTTATAAAAGTTAAGAGTCAACCCTCTTGTGTTCAGCAGAAAACAAATGCATACAGGTTTGCAACAACCTGAGGTTGAATAAATGATGAGAATATTTTCATTTTTGGGTGAACTATCCTTTTAAGTAGTAGGGATGTAACGATTAACCGCGAGCCGGTTGAAAATCGATTCAAATATGTGACGAGAGCAATAATATGCAAGTGCTATATTAGTACATTATTATAGTGTTATATTTCAATTTCACAAAGAAACGTGCAGAATTTTGTCCAAGCAATAAAAGGACACTTTTAATTTATAATTTGTCTTAAATCTCATTTTGTAAAAAAAAAAAATCGTGAGTTGAGTGAATCGTTACATACCTACTTTTAAGCGTTTCTGGAGCTGTGCAGCACATGTTGCATTTGACTCCAGAAGGTTTTTTTTAGGTCGGGATGATGCTTCCCTCTCTCTGGTGCTCACTGATCTGATGCTGTTGACAGGGTTTCCCAGCAGAGCGGGTCAGAGATGTGCTGTCTCGGGTGCCAATGGCACAGAAGTTTGCTAAATACTGGATCTGCCAGGCCAGACTAATGGAAAGAGCGGGAAACCTGGAGGTGCTGCCCATGTTTCAGGAGGCCATCCGTGTGGTGAGAGAGGTCAGTCTCTCTTTATCTCCCACAAATACGTGTTTTCTTCCCTTGATGTTATTTGCTTGTTTGCTTCGTTTTAGTCTGGAAATCTGAGAAGCCTCAGAAGAGTTATTAGACTTTCCCCCGGTTTCACAGACAAGGCTTAAGCCTAGTCCCAGACTAAAATGAAAGTCTGAGCAGTTTAAACTGAAAGAAACTTGCACTGACTGATCGTAAAATACATCAGTGCCTTTGTTTTGGCTCAAGATGCACACCAGAAATGTTTTTTCTAAGCATGTTTATAAAAATTGCTTAAATGTCTTAATTGAACTGTGATCTAATCCTGGCTTAATCTAAGCCCCGTCTGTGAAACCAGGCCTTTGTTTTTTATTATTATCAATTATATTAAATGTTATGAGGTGTTACCATGTTTTATTTAAAAATAATAAATTAAGAGTAAATGTAATGTTTTTATTGATTTTTATTTTGTTTTTCAAAGTGCTGTCAAACGATTAATAGCATCCAAAACAAAAGTTTTTGTTTACATAATGTGTGTGTGTGTGTACTGTTTCTATAAATACACACACATGCAATATATATTTTGAAAATATTTACGTATATCTTTTTATATTCATTAGTGCTGTTAAAGATTAATCGCGATTAATCACATACAAAATAAGGGTTTTTTGCATAATATATATGTGTGTGTTCTGTGTATATTTATTATGTATGTATATATAATACAAACACGCATAGTATATATTTAGAAAATATTTATATTCATTTAATTTATATTATAAATATATTTAATATATAAACATAACATATTTTTCTGAAATACATCCATGCATGTGTGTGTATTTATATATACATAATAAATATACACAGAACACACACACATTATGTAAACAAAAACATTTATTTTGGATGCGATTAATCGCGATTAATCGTTTGACAGCACTATTTATATTATATAAAAATATAGTTAATATATAAACATAATATATTTTTCTTAAATATATATGAGTGTGTGATTATGTACATAATAAATATACACTGTACACACACGTACTGTGTGTAAACAATATTATGTATTATTGACAGTTATATAATTGTCAATCATATATTATTGACAATATGTAAACAAACTTATTTTGGATGCGATTAATCGTTTGGCAGCATTGTTTTTTTTACTGTTATGATACAGCTGTTGTTGTTTTTTCTTAGGATGTAAGCTAATTCCACTTCTTAGGCAAGAGCTTACAGTAACAGCAGATGACTTACTTTAGTGCGCGTGTAAAATTAAATCCAAATATCTCACAGCTTATGAGTAACCAATCTGTTTTCACTTATTGCAATATGTTTCTTAACAGCCAGTGGATGAGCTACGGTCTGTGGTTTTTGAGATCCTTAAAAAGAGACAGATTCAAGGTAAAGGCATTCAATATTTTCGTCATCCAGTGGCATACACTACATTTTTTTTTAGCAATGACTTTTAACAAACTATATGGCAGTGATTTTTAGTTTTACACTGCTGGTTTGAAATTCATACTTTTTAGTATAGTTGATAGATGTCTCTTATTTTCAACGAAGGCTGCATTTTATAAAAAATACAGTGTTTAATGAAACATTACTACAATTAAAAAAATAACAATTTTTTACTTGAATCTCTGTTAAACTGTAATTTATTTCTGTGATGCGCAGCTGTATTTTCAGCATCATTACTCCAGTCTTCAGTGTCACATGATCTTCAGAAATCATTCTAATATGCTGATTTGCTGCTCAAGAAACATTTCTGATTATTGCTGCTTGATAATTTTGACATGATGTGATGCCATTCAAAAATATATATAAGAATGCATTTAATTGATCAAAAGTGACGATAAAGATATTTATAATGTTACAAAAGTTTTCAAATAAATGCTGTAATTTGGACCTTTCTATTCATCAAATAATCCTGAAAAAAAAGGCAATTCTCACAAATATCTTAAGCAGCACAACTGTTTTCAACATTGATTGTTGAGCATTAAATCAGAATATTAGGATGGTTCGAATGCCATCACAGGAATAAATTACATTTTAAAATGTAATTTAAAAAAAATTGTTTCCTAATATGACTGTTTTTAGTGTATTTTTTAAAATTAAATAAATTCAGCATTGGTGAGCATAAGTGACGTCTTTTAAAAACACAAAAAAAGAATCAAGTTATTAATAATAATAAAATAAATAATTAGATAAAGTTTGTCAAGACAAACTTTAGGTTGGCTTGAGAAAGCCTAGCCTGAAAGTTTAAAGTAGCTGTAAAAGCCTGAAGTTTGAAAATTTAGATAGATGTTGATAACCTGTTTCTAGCATGATTAGCACGTTATTAACATGATTGGCCTGTTACTAGCATATTGCTGGCATGATTAGCATGTTGCTAGCATGATTAGCAAGTTACTAGCATGTTGCTAGCATGATTAACAAGTAACTAGCATGTTTTGCTAGCATGATTAGCAAGTAACTAGCATGTTGCTAGCATGATTAGCAAGTGACTAGTATGTCGCTAGCATGATTAGCAAAAGTGACTAGCATGATTAGCCAGTTACTAGCATGTCGCTAGCATGTTTCTAGCATAATTAGCATTTGATTAGCGTGTTGCTACCATGATTAGCCTGCTACTAGCATGTTGCTTGCATGATTAGCAAGTGACTAGCATGTCGTTAACATGTTTCTAGCATGTTGTTAGCATGCTACTAGCATGTTGCTAGCATGATTTCTCAAGCTAACCTAATAATAAAAACCAATTTAAATCATTCAGGTTTGTCTCTGATGCCAAAAGAGTGTGAAGCAGAAGAGACTGGAGTGTGTGATGAAGAGCACACCCCAAAACCCATCAGTGCCCTCATATCTGGAGCGAGGGGAGACTCGTCTGTCGTCAAGTATAAAATCACAGCGACCCCAGGGTGAGACACCTGCACACTTAGTAGGGCTGATTTTCGAATATTCCTCTAATTTAAAATATAAATCCACATTTGAATGTTAGGCGTGCGTCAGGCATCAATGCAGAGATGTTGTTTACATCAAAACTGAAACCAAGCTTTTCACACAGAACGCATGTTTATCGCATTTTCTAGAGGGACATCTATCAGCGTTGCACTCGCGTCTCGCACAAGAGAGCCGCATGTTTAGAAAGCCATGTAAAATTAATGCAAGTTCAACTTTTAAAAAACATGGTTTTCCCCATGAAGAAACGTGCATTAGTAATATTTTGCTCGATGCGCCCTCTTGTGGCCTCAGGAGAGAAGCCAAACGCTTTTTCCCCCCCTAACGGAAATTATGCATTTTAAATTTGAATATTTAAGTACAAAATTCGAATGTAGTTTTTCAGCCATTTTGTGACAGCCCTAACGCTTACACAATCCAGCTGTGAACTTCAGTAACCTTGATCCCGTGTGCATGCGAATAATGATGTGGGACTTTTACCTCTTCATGTGCTCCAGTGCCTCTTGAAAAAACAGATTTTTTATCAGTATTACAGGTTTTCTGAGATGTTGAAATATGCAAATCAGGGGTTTTCTGCTCAGAATGAAGTGGAGGTGGTACTGTCCTGATCATGTGCACACATGCATAACAGCTAAAAAGGTGCCCTTTTGCACATAAACATGACTTCCGGTCATTAAACACTGAAGAACATTTCATTAAAAAATTCCAGCCGCCTCTATTTTTCATTTTACTCACAGTCCAGTGCCTCCTGGATCGCCAGATCGCCTCGAACCCAGCGTACATTTATCACCCTATTCTAAAAAGCATTTCTAGAAAACTGATCAAAACACATTCTTATGACTTTACGTGAAATCTCCTGACAAAATGTGTGTACTGTGTATATTTGTAATGTGTGTGTGTGTGTGTATATATATATATATGTAAATACACACACATGCATGTATATATTTAAGAAAAATGTTATGTTTATATATTAAATATATTTATATATAACATAAATTATATGAATACACATATACATGTAAATATTTTCAAAATATATACTGTATATCTGTGTATTTATATATACACAGTACACGCATATATTATGTAAACAAACTATTATTTTGGATGCAATTAATCGAAATTACGAAATTAACTAAATTACTGTTTTTTTTGTTACTGTGCAAGAGACTTCTTTCAAAACTCTTAAAGTCCTTGCACACCAAATCCAAAATTTATCAGATAAAAAAAAAAAATTGTTTTGCATGTTAAGAAATAAACACAACCTCACGTTGTGTCCATCACGTTTACACTGCCTCCGGAACTTTTGTGCATCATAAAAAAAAAAATTCGGCTCTGGTTCTATTTTCTTCATTTTTCGCATCCGTAGCAAGCAAGCATGTTGAGAAGTGCTTTGATGTGTGCAAGGTTTGGATGGTGAATACAAATAAATGCATACGAAAAATTGCATCGAAAAAAATCTGGACTAATAATTTAGGTGCATTCAGGTTAATCGGGACATCTTTTCCCCAGGCCTCTCAGTGGCACAGTGTCAAATGCTGAAATGAACATTTTTCAGTTGCCAGGATGATTGTGAGTTGTTTTGGCTGCAGTCACTGCTGGGATGTTATCTGATCATGCTCATGTTTTTAGGGGCAAAAGGAGTCAGCGAGGAGCAGAAGCAGGGCAAGTGGACGGTCATGAGATCCGCTTCTTCACCCCGGTGCGCCGCTCGGTGCGGATCGAGAGAAGCGCTCGGCGTTATCCCACAGCTTTGCTGGAGCACGAGCCCTGTGTGACCTCTCTCTGTGAGCTTGCAGGTGAGCGTCAGGAAGAGGTCAAAGGTCAGAGCTCTCCTGTGTATGTGTACCGTGAGAACGAAGCGCTGACAGACCGCGTTCACATTACACTTGTTTATCCAGAGGAGGAAGAAACGTGATGGTGTTTATCAGCACGCTCTGACCTTCAAAGCAATCAATTGTTTTAATCGTTTTCATTCTGCATTCACTATTTCTCTGTAAAATATTAGCAGCAGATTTCTGTATGTTACCTGATTGGTTCATACCTTCATTGCTATGCAGCACTGCTGTATGTACAGATAAGATGATGGTTTTGTCTAAATGTGCTGCAAAAGACTTGACACGACGTCTAACTTATCTTTAAAACTTTAGTTATAATTTATGAATTAGACTCAATCTCTGCATGAATCTTATTAAAGCATATTTGAGTCAGTGTTGCTGTAATTTTGTTCCATTCAAAGTGGAGAGTTATTGATCAGACGAACAAAGCGAACAAACATTTTATGAATCTTTGCATGCTCTGTGCTCTGTTTTTAGGTCATTTCCCATTGGTGTTATGTAATATGACTTTATCTACAGTCTTCATTGTTTAATAAATCTTGAAATGTTGATTGGCAAGCAGTTTGAGGTTAGTAAGAAGTTCTTCTGTTACTGTGCGGTCATTAAACTTCAGGAATGGGAGGAATGCATTTTCCCAGGCTGCTCAAAACAAGCAGTGGGTGGATCTCGATCGAGAACTCTTGCATGCACAGGACATGAGGTCCAGTAAACTGATGATTTGAAGGGATATTTTAACCAAACGAGAAAATCTAGCATTATTTATTCACTCCCATGTCACTCTTTAGAACACAAATATTTTGGGGGTTTTTTTGGTCCAGTGTTGCCTGTTAAACACTCTTCAAAACATCGATAGAGCTGTCTTATCTGCAGGAAGATGAAATACAAGATCTTCAGGAGCCACTGTGTAAAATATAACAAAAACTTACATTTATAAAGCGGAGAGTTCCAGTCCTTGATTCTGATTGGCTGAGCCGCGTTCGAAGCTGTTGTAAATGACTCTACAAAGTAACATACACCTTTGTTTACTTCTGTGTGTTGCTCGGCAACCACTTTGTTGCAACCACAATTGTTTCTGAGGAGCTACATTGTTTGGTGGAAGAATACTGTTTTTATTAATATCATTACACTTTATTTGCTCTGTTTTATTTCGTGAAACCTTACTACGTATATGGAATAACCGTTTTATAAAAGCAGTGAACCCCGTGAAGCCGTGGTTTGCAGTGAATTTATAACCGCTAACTCCGCTTCGCGTGGTACCTAACAACGCCCCTTAGCTGTTATAAATTCACTGTAAACCATGGCTTCACGGGACGTATTGCTTTATTTTGCATTATTTTTAGAAGATTTGTGGTTGGTAAGATGTTTTTACGTTCTCTTAACAAGGCTGCATTTATTTGATAAAAAATAAAAAAACAGTAGAACTGTGGAATATTATTACAATTTAAAATAATAAAAATGTAATCCGTTTTATAATTTATTTCTGAAGCCAGCCATCGCTCCAGTGTCACATGATCCTTCAGAAATCGTTTTAATGTGCTGATTTGCTGCTCAAGATTTTGTGGGAGTTCTTTGGTGAAAAGAGAGTTCAAAAAACAGATTTAATATTTGAAATAAAAATATCAGAATGAAGTTGCACAGATGTATAAAGCTGAATGTAGTGTGAGATGAGACTGTGGCAGAAGTGCCTGAGGATAAAAAAGCGATAAAGCCCTGATAATGATAGGTCCGTTTGAAAATGTGGAAGTGCTTATTACATTTCTGTGAGTAACGTACGACAGAAATTTGTCACTCTGCAAATGACGCAAGGAATTTTTTGCAGTTCACAGCAGCAGTACATGTCACGACAAAACACCGCTGCAGTGCTCACCTTTCAAACAGCTTCCATAACTCAATATTGCTCATCTATAATGGGACTGCAATACATGTGTATATATTCCAGAGTTCAATACAAGTTCAACTCGATCGACAGCATCATAATAAAAAAGCAACAAGTAAAAGACTTCCAATGAAAGTAAATGGGGCTAATTTTGGGAGAATTTAAAAGAAGAAAAGTTTACCGTTTCAGAAAACCACGTTTTTTTTTTTTTTTTCAGCTTTTGTTTGAGTACAGCTCAGTTCCCATCTTTACAATAATGTCACAATGCGTTACAGTATTTCAGGTTCAATGCAAGTTTTGTCTCAATGATTAAATGTATTGCAACAGGGTCAAAACCACAGAAATCTGGGTTAAAGTATAAAAACTTTGGAATGGTTTATTTCCACAACTCTCATTTTTACAATGGATAAAAATAATAAAACCAAACCTCCCTTGTATTCTATACAACTGTCTTCAGTTTTTCTTTTGTACTTCTCTCTAAAAACCCAAACAAAAAAGTATAATTTTAGTTTAAATAATATTTTATACTTGAATTTCACATTACTTTGGTTATTGTTCTGTAGACTGTGGCTGAGTTTCTGAGTTTAGTGCTGTTTGCTTTAATAAAGCGCACATGGTTTGCAGTAAATATATATACCAAGTGTTTCAGAATTCAATGAAACTGATCTAGTGCAGAAACTGCGACTTCCAAAGAGCACCGCTCTGTATCTGACAATGATAGATGACGAGAGTTGACAACTGTTAACTAGTAAACCACAAAGTTTTACTTCTAAATTATTAATGCATGTACCGTCTTTCAGCAAATGAAGTTTTGCACGCTAAAGCTTGTCCAGTGGAGAAATGTATCACTTGTCAATATGTTTAAAACCATCTTCAGTCAGAATTGAGGTGCTTTCATTTTAAAATATTTTCCAGGTTACATTGTTACATTGTGATTAAAGGAATAGTTCAGCCAAAAATAACTCAACTAACTCACCCTCAGGGCAAGTCTTTCAAGATCGAGAGGTTTCTTCATCAGAACAGATTTGGAGGAATGTAGCATTGCATCACTTGCTCTGCAGTGAATGGGTGCCGTCAGAATGAGAGTCCAAACAGCTGATAAAAACATCACAGCAATCCACAAGTAATCCACAGCACTCCAGTCCATCAGTTAACATCTGGAGCTGAAACAAATCCAATGAAGTTTTTTTGGGGGGGGGTTCATTCTGACGGCACCCATTCACTGCAGAGCATCTATTGCTGAGCAAGTGATGCAATGCTACATTTCTCCAAATCTGAAAACTCATCCACATCTTGAATGTCCTGAGGGGGAGTAGAAGAATTTAGAAATTGTGAACGAAAAAGTGAACAATTGTTCTGTGAACAGTGGAGACACAAGATTTGACATTAATGATTTTACATTGAGAGCATTGGGAAAAAAAATTGCATGATTCAAGTCTCCTTTATTTTTATAGTGCTTTATACAGTAGAGATCTTTCAGGGAAGTAACCGAATCAGTGATGCAAACTTCAAATCCTAATTCTGCTCTAATGCAGCTGCAGCAAGACAATAGTCATTATTGAAGTTCATGATGAAACGAGTTCAGTTTAGCGATTAAGCAGCTCAACTGAAAACTGTAAGGATGGTTTCCCTACGGTGGTTCAGGCTGTAGGATTGCCGAATGACTAAAGAAACGTTATCAGCACGATGGTATAAAACTGTACATTTCTAGTCTATTACCACCCACTGCCACTTATACCAACGACGGAAATAAGCGCAGTTAGAATAGCTAAATATGTGGGAGAGCGTTGCTATTGAGTGACTATTGTATTGCAATAGGTAGCACTTTAATATTAACCTTGAATCAAGACTAGTTAGCACAACCGTAGTGAGATTATTCAGCGGGAGCTGGTTTAATGTTGATTCAGTTCAGTTCCAGCAGGTTAAAACACGTCTCACTGATGGCAGGATTTATTTCGTCTGAGGCTACACACATTTTTAATAAATCAATGAAGGCATCTGTAGACATGCAAAAAACACTTTTAACCCTAAAAATGAGAACATCTGAAGCATTGAACCACTTGGGTGCGAATGGCCCGAATTGTAACCAGCTCCAGAGTGTAAGGATAAAAGCAGCATGATGTTAATGTAATCAATTAAAAACAAGTGTATTATTACCCCAGGTAATAATAGTGTACTTGACCACACTAAAAAAATACTTAAATACAAGCAAGCACATTATAGCACATTCTTACTTTTGAGCTAAATAAAATAATGTAAAAGGTATATGCTATAAATACACTAATTAAAAGTATATTTCTACTTAAGTGAGATTGCAAAAGTATACTAAATACCACTGATACTTAAATTGATTTAAAGTAGACTATACCCCAAAAATATACAGAGGGCTTTTATTAGTCTATTTCTTAAAAGTGTGCTTTGACTAATTAAAAAATTAAGAACACTTTTAACAGTTTAAATTGAGTTGATTATATATTTAAAATATCTTAGTAATGTAATAGTTATAAGTATGTTTCCCCAGCTGTGCTACTTAAGTACACTTAATATAAATACACTAATTAGCACTAACACTTAAACTGATTTTAAGTGTAGTCAGATGAAGTGTTTTATAACTGCATTGCTTAAAAGTGTGCCACGATCACTTCACATAACATTTTAGTGGATTTTTAAAATATATTATAACTACGTTCTAGGCAAGGCAAGTTTATTTATATAGCACATTTCATACACAATGGTAATTCAAAGTGCTTTACATAAAAGGAAGTAAAATAATCATAAAACAATAACCACAACAATAAAACAAGGAATTTAAAAACGTTTAAAATGATTAGAAATTGATTTAAAATGAATTTAAAACAGTTAAAAATAAAAATGATTTTGCATAAAATACAGTGCGATCAGCTCATTCAGTAAATGCACAGCTAAACAGATGAGTTTTGAGTCTAGATTTAAATGTGATTAATGTTTTAGCACATCTTTAGCTCTTCTGGAAGCTGACTGTATTAAATTGCTGTTGTAGTAAATTCCCGTTCGTAGCACACATGTGAGAGTGGAGTGAGGAGGAGAACGAGGTTCTGCGATGATTACGAGCCAGCCTTTCTGCTTCTTTATGCAAAGCCAGTTTCTGGCCTGAGCCGTCCCAGCTTCGTTTTCTACACTGACTGTTTCTTCTTCTGGATTATGCATTGCTCTATAGCACAGCATGCACAGTGCTTCCTCACATTACTGAATCCCATGTCTCAGCTGTTTGTTGCGAAAATGGCTTTTATTAAATCACAGTGTGTCAGTGAATGATTGCAGGCCATTTCAAAGCGGTTTTCTTTTCTAGACTTCAGTTCATTCCTGCTGCTTCACCTGCTGCTCTGCACTGACTGACTGATCATGCTGTGCTTTTGATCTCTCTCTCTCTCTCTCTCTCTGTTTGTTCTTTGTTTGGAATCTGTTGGCCTTGGATTTAATTGGATTTCAAAATAAAGGCTTATCTGAAGAATTTGTCTACCAAGTGCTTTAGTAACTTTTTTGTAAAGCCCCAGTGAATGCATTTTTTTACTCTTCTCATGACTAGAAGGAATTGTTGGTGGAGTAGTGAATTAACAACGCTGTCTTCCACAGCACTGCAGTGTGTGTGTGTGTGTGTGTGTGTGTGTGTGTCTGTGTCTGTGTGTGTGAGTGTTGT